TTTTTTTATCACTTTTAAGCCATGGTTTTCCGTAAGGGTTTGTCTGGAAGGATGTCTGGCTAGCAGTGTCCATGATGAAGTTGCTGCGTGCAAAATGTATCAGCCTTGAAAGGGGAAAATGTCCGTTTTCTTAATTGTAGAGAAAACCATGTGGATGGGAATTACACCAGGACCAAGAAATTAAAACTGCAGTATAAAGTGGCTGCCAAGGTGCCCTTCAGGCGAATACAATTTGTAGTCGAGAGAGCAATTCACTCTGCAGAAACTTTTTTTTTTCACTTCTTCTTTGCATTTTTGTTTTCAGTCACCCTCCAAAGTCCATTTAATGTACAGCGAATAAAGTCAACTTGAATAATACAGACCATTTTGCCAATGATGTTTTTGTGGTGTTGATTATAAATATACTGTAAACAGCCCTTTTACTAAAAATGCAAACGCTTTACGATATTTCGTCAGTCATCTGTTTCCCTAAAGTTGACCTACTTACAAGGTTAAAACGTTTTTTAAATTGCTTACAATGTTAAAGATGTTTATGAAGGAGAAATCACAAATGGAGAATTAGTGCCGGGATTTGGAATAAATGGAAAATGCTTGTTTAGTGGTTCTTTCTTCTGGTTTTATTGAGTGGTGTGTGTTCGATCTGTGTCATTTTATAAGCATTCACTTCCAATCCCCCTTAAAGATTAATCATCGATGTTTAGTTATTTTTATTTATTTATTCAACTTCGCCTAACTAAAGTACTTCTATACATAGAATTTGTATTAGGCAGGGAGACCACTGCTGCCTAGCCAATTACAGTGGATCTCTCGTTAATCAGAATTAAACTAAAGCTACTCATATATAAACAAGAAAAATCAAAAGGAAACTAAACAGAAGTTCAAATTGCTAGAAACAGCACGACGGCGGGCTCAGAAGAGTCCTCGCTATGTTGCACCTGGGACAGATTGTTCTCCAGCGTCTTATGTAGTTCTTATCTCACGTATATACCATAAAAAGCAGCACACTTGACCATAGAGTTAACTACCATGAGTTAACTGAAACTGTTTGCTTGGTTCTGTTTTCAGTCAAGAGGTAACAGCAGTTCTTCATCTAATGGTCACGATATGCAATCAATTAGGAATATGGAAGGAAACGAAGTGTGTGTGGACTGTGGCGCGCCGAGTAAGTTGGGTGTCCTGTTGCTGTTTTTCATTTTCGCAATGCATTGCATTATGAGAATCAGTTTATACCGTGGCATCCCTCCCTCATAAAATAATTATGTCCTTGCCGCACTCTTTGAAGGGGTGTTTCTATTTTTTTTTTTCAATTTACAACCATGTTGTGGTAAGTACCTTGTTCTTATAAACACACTATTCGCTCCTTTCCCAAAATTTAATTAGCGCCCTTCATACTAAATCAAATGAACACGGTCTTTTCGAGTGAAGAGGTTGAAATGGTAAATTGTTACAAGAGGAAGTCGGGAAGTTTATTTTGAGTCAGGGAAAATTGACATTTTGAAGTTAAGTCAGGGAGATTTGAAATTTTAACACTGTAGATTTCATACCGTTGAAGGCTGAAGGAAACATTCGGGATCACTGCGACCTTAGTGATGTTTTTCCTTAACGAAGAAGGCAAATTTGTCGAAACCTTATCAGTCCTAAATGGGTTGTAACGACGGTTGTAAGGGGAGCTGGAAGCCACTACTATATATTATATTTTGTAGTTATGTGCCAGTTTGGTCAGCGAAATTGTATTTTTATCATGGAAAAGTCGGGGAATTTGAAAATCTGATGTCGGTGACAACCGACATCATCCTGTAGGCGATGACCCATGAAGTCATTAATGTGTGTTTTCTTTCTTGTTTTCTCAGGTCCTGACTGGGCGTCACTGAACCTTGGAGCTTTGATGTGTATAGAATGTTCTGGAATTCACAGAAATCTTGGAACACACGTGTCTAGAGTACGATCTCTAGACCTGGACGAATGGCCGTAAGTAAAGTGTACACCACGTGTTTGAAAATAAGAGTTGTTTTTAGGATTTTGAAGGCGAATGACCTGCTCGTCGTGATCGTTGGTCAAAAGATCTAGTTTCCATGCCTATCCAGTGTCTTTGTAATCTTAACCCAGCTAAACTGCTATTTAAATGGTCTCCGCACCCAGTAATCTTCCTTCAGACTAGCTGCTAATGGTGCCTTGGGAAGTACTTATCGCATCGCACTTGTTTTGCTTTGCAGATCTGAGCTCACAGCTGTGATCAGCGCAATTGGAAACACACTTGCTAACAGCGTGTGGGAAGGAAAGCTACAAAACAGGACGAAACCAACCCCGTCTTCTTCAAGGTATGAAAGCGCTTGTAACAAGTGGTAACACAATAACGTTTTGATGCTAAGTCACGTTAGGTCACGCACAGCCGCTGCAAAGTCTTCTTAGGTCACGCAAGGTCGCACCAGGTTACTCAAGGTTGTGCCAGTTTAAGCTTCAATCTAAGTGAGAAAGTCTCGTTATCACACAGCCAGTGTGATTTCAACAGTTTAATGATGTAATCCGTATGCTTCCTTAATTGTCCCTCTTTATATATCCACATTTAGAGAAGAGAAAGAAAAATGGGTCCGAGCGAAATACGAGGGGAAAGAGTTTCTTCGAGAATTACCGCCGTGTGATTTTTCACTGGGCGAGGTAAGTGATGTAACTTACTAAATTAATTGAGGAAGACAAGTAGAACAAGAGCACTTAGAAACAGTAACAAGAATTTGTCAGGACCGTTTGTTGGAAGGAGATGGAGCCATTGCAGTTGGTGGATGAATGGTGGATTACTGGTTCGGTATTCGGCGCATTGGCTGCCGATGCATTTGTTGGTGCTCAATCGTCACTTTTTGCCATTTTGAGAAGTAAGGGTGAGTGCTACTGGGAGGGGGGGGGGGGGGAG